GACTGGAGTGAGATGAAATCTCAGAGTGGTTTTGATTTTCATTTCTCTAATTGCTAGTTATGATGAACATTTCAGAAAAGACAGAATTAACAGAAATAAAGCTGTTAATAAAGTTTCATAGAACAGAATGCAGCTGAATAGAACCCCAGTAATTCTTACAACAAATATTATGACTGGCATTTTGCCAAGGGGAAATGAAGACTCAATAAAGAGTACACTCTGTAGAATATCCAACTCCTAGTGACTGGGGAATACCCGGACCCTATCCACCCACTGAGATAGTTTTAACAAAACATGAATAGCCATGAGTAAAAGGGTTTAACTCTCATAGGAAGCAGAGCAAATTTTGGTCTCTCTCTTTAGTGGGGCAGGTCTGGGAAAGAGTGGGAGTTTTACACCAGCAATATAGAAGGATTTAGATGTTGTTTTACAGATTAAATTAGGTCTATATGATTCATGGATTCTTTGAACCTGTCATCTCACTGGATACCTCTGGTTGTAGTCACTGTGATTCCTAAGCTAATTATCCATGGTACAAATGACCTCACCTGTCCTGTCTGAAGCCATCATATTATGGAAGGAAAACCAAAGACAGGTGGAGGTGAGTTGGCTACTGGGGACATGGCTCAGGTCTTACTTTGTTATAAATGTGCTGAACATGGGGGAAGCTACCCCAAGTCTTTGGAGCTTAGTTTTTCAGTAACATTGAATAATTCAACAGAATTATCTCTGAAGTTCCCTCCCAGAGCTAGCAGTCAATAGGTGTAGAAAGACCTCATAGTCACTTTTCTCTGCAGGATAACCCCCTAGGAAGAGGTAAATGTGACACTGGTAAGTGCTTTGTGACTTACTCATGATTTATTTCTAAAGCAAATCTAGCTTGGAGCAGAGATGGGACAAGGGTCTGTAATAAAGATAGTTTGACCCCAGCACATTGATTCAGTGTCTGTAGGAAGCATCTTAGACATATCACCAGGAACTAAGAAATTTATTGATATGAATTGAGATCCACAGTTCATCAATGCAGCAGGTGCTGAAAAGACAGGACTGCTCTGACAAATGGCTTCCCTTCTCCCCCTGTGCCTCTAATCTGTCATTTGGTAGTCCCCAGGGATACCCCTTCCTGTTTTTTTCTCAGCATATAGAGTCATTCCCTATTTTCAAATCTTAGGAATATCTTTAGCTGCAATGTCCAATTCTACTGGATGTCCAGTTCTAGCTGTCAATTCTACTACTAAGCCTTCATCACCAGAGAGAGACTTAACTCCATAGTCCCTAATATTCCTCAGTTGTCCTCTAAAAAATAAGTGGAATAAGCATGCTATCAGTGTTGACACAGTGTCCTCAACAAACGCAGCTCAGGACATATTCCTCGGATGTACTGCTTCCTGGAAGTCTTTCCTGCTCAGACATTCTGGGGGCTTAAAATGAGATTTAGTATGAGTCTACTGTGTGCTTGGTAGTTGCTCTCTCTGGTGCATTGAATAGTTTCAGCTGCATGGTCCATCCTCAAGTGCAGAAGTTGTGGAGGCAGCTGGCTCCTAGGTCTTGGAGCTCAGAGGTTTGGGTAGTTTGACAGACACTTAAGTTTGTCTGATATTGAAGGCAGAAAGCCATGGAAAGGTAAAGGGGCAGCAGTAGAGCTTTCTCATCCTGTTGCATCTCCTGGACTCAACGTGAGTATTGGTAACAACTCATATGTGGGCTCCACTCAGACAAGGATTTTGTTTTACTCAGTATTGTGGATTCAGCAGCTAACTAACTGTTAACACATGGTATAAAGCAGGTCACTTTGCTCTGGTTACTAACTTTTCTGAGACCAGTGAAACAAAACTGACTCTTATACAACTTGTTGCATGAAGCAAATTAATTACTCATAGGTAGACAGCAAGGAATAATAGAAGCCTAAGATTTATTATAAGCCAGTCTACGAGGTGCAGGAAGCCACCCACATGGATGTATTCTCAATTGTGCATGTCTTCCTTGAGTGGTAGATGAAGGATGCTCGAAAGTGGCCCATGCTGAGTTTGATATGCTGCGAGATACATGACATTTTGGGCTAACGTTTTGAAGAACATATTGTCATTCTAGGGCAACTGAAATAGAGTTTGGGTTTTTCTGGCCAGTTCCCTTTTATTTAAGGATATTTCATCCTAGCCTATTCTTTAGCTTTTTAAGAATTATAATCTATTGTGTGCATGTACAAATATGTGACAAATCACACCATTATGTACAACTATTAACATGCCAATAAAAAAATGCAGAAAAAAAAGTACTATAATCAAGAAAGGATGAGCAAAAACTAATTTAGTTTGGGGCCACCTAAAGAAGCATACTGTGCATGGTAGGCACATAAGCAATGTAGGTTGAATGATCAGTGAGGAAGTCACATAGTAAGTCACATTGTTAAGAGCACAGACTCACCAGGCGCAGTGGTACATACCTGTAATCCTAGTGGCTTGGGAGGCTGAGGCAGGAGGATTGCAAGTTCAAACCCAGCCTCAGCAAAAACAAGTCACTAAGCAACTCAGTGAGACCCTGTTTCTAAATAAAACACAATATAGGGGTGGGGATGTGGCTCAGTGGTCAAGATCCCCTGAGTTCAATCCCCCAGTAACACCCCCCCGCCCCCGCAACAAAAAAGAGCATAGACTCTGGAGCTCAAGTGCCTTGATCTAAATCCCATCCCCATCATTCACTAGCTGGGAATGTAGAAAAGTAAGCTAACATTTCAATGCTTCAGATTCTTCATTTAAAAACCAGAGATAGTAACTATATATCTCAAAGAGAAGTTATTCAGATTAAGTAATTTAACATTTTTATAGTGGTTATAACCAGAGTCTGATGGGCTTAGTAAATGTTTATTAAACAACTAGATTTTTCAGCTGATGAGTCCAATTCCTTTTCCCTCTGTATCAAAGTTGTGTTTTTAAATCAGATTCACATCACCATGGCAAAGTACTTGACATAATCAACTTAAAGGGAGGAAAGATTTATTTTGGTACACTTTGAGAAGGTTCAGTTCTTGGTTGCTTGACCCTTTGACATTGGGTCTGCTATGAGGCAGAACATCATGGCGGGGAGTATATACTGATAACAAAGCCACTAATCTCATGTCAACCAGGAAGAAAAGAGCATGACCCCAGTGACCTAACATCCTCTAAGTAGATCTTACATTCTAAAGTTCACCCCTTCCCAGTAGTGCCATGAGCTAAGGGCCAAAGCCTTCAATACGTGAGCGTTGGGTGGACATTTAAAACCATAACATCTCTGCTAATGTGCTACTTGACTTATTCTTGTAGACTGAGAGGTCCTTCAAACCAAATACCACCCAAGAATGTTTGCTTTAGATGGCTGGAATTGTATGGCTTTACTCAAGGAATAACTGTCTTGCATAATTTATCTTCCTCACTCTGCAGGAGATAATCATAAACTCTTTAACCATCTCGCATGTTCTTCCTTAGACATGGTCTTTCATCCTCTTATGTACCAGTTCTGGCCACTGCAGCCTCTGTACCCCATAGTCATTGTTTCATCACCTCCTGTCCTCCACCTCCTAGGTAACTGCCTTTTGCTTTTCTCTAATGTCTGTCCTCTCTCCACATGGCATGCAAACTCTAACATTTATATTGGTAATCTTGCTTTGCCCTTGCTTTCATATTAAGTCAGGTCAAATCCTTTTGGTAAACGTTAAAAAATAATTAATTGCAAACAAAACAGTATTTTTTCCCCCCGCAACCTCTTTGTTTCTTTCACCTTCATGAGTAACTCAAGCTGCCTCATTGTTCATTAGAAAGACATTTTCCCCACAGGTTGTAACTTTTTCATCACAGTGTTTTGATTTTTCTGTTAGTTTGGTATTTGTTCGAAGTTCTGTTGGCCAGAGCTGTGATTGATTGCCACCTTTACCAGATTTGACTCTTACACACATGGAAAGGGCGAGGGCACAGAGTAGAAGGTATGATTTACCACCTGATCCTCTCATGCTAGTTTCCACCTTTGAGGTATTTATAATCCGCTCTTCTAGGTGGAAATGACATAGAAAACATTTAGGCATAGTACAAGCCACTCTATAAGTCTTCTGGACTTAAGCCGTTTACTCACAAACTCAGAATCATCCCAAATATTCTTAGCATGGGAATTACTTTATGCAAAAGTAGTTCATTCTGTGTTTGGCTATTCATTGCTGTATCATTTTCAAGGGCCCCCACTCTATTATAATGTGCACAAAGATGGGAATGGTATTCTCCTTTATCTGGGCTTTCTCAAGTTATTCAGAATGGGTGTAACATACAGAGGATGCTTGGTGAAAAGAACTGTGGACAGATGGTCACTGCATCTTGAAGGGACCAGACTCTTGGACCAGAATGGGTGCAGTTGTACACTAGGAAGAGCTGAGAGATCCTAGTTTTGTCCTTCCCTAGGAAGAGCCCTGCACCTCTGGGCAGCCTTACTAATGAAACTGATTTCCAGCGGCCAGGTCTGCAGTCACACAGCCTGATTTTTCTTCCTATCTAAGAACCATTTTTCTTCTGTTTCTTCACCAGTTCCACCCCTCCAGGGAGTCACAGCAGTAGATTGGTTATGCTAAACACTCTTCCTCAGGGGTTCGATTTTGATTTTTTCCACAGCGACCCAGTCATTTATATAGTCCAGATAGACTCATCTTGAAACTTCACAAAGCCATTTAATTTTGTTTTAAATCATAACTCTGGATAATTTGTATCTATGGTATTTCCAGTGCTCTCTTGCATTCCCAGGAAGTATTCTGTAATGCAGGAATCTCAAGTGCTTGCCCTCTGTTACTGTCTTCTTTTCCTTTCTTCGCCCCAAATGCTAATAATGTGTATTGGAGGGTGTTGATATTTAGTTTGTATATACTTTTTATTACCATGGAGCAAATGTGAGCAAAGTAGAAAAAGATACAGGTAAAGAGAGGAGCAATATTAAGGATGTCCAGAATGTGTGACATGGGCCATTATTTTTTTTTTGTCCTTCAGTCTTTAGACCTGTGGAAAATGCATTGTGTTTGGGACCCGCCCCCACGGCCTCTCAGCTCTGCAGTGTTCCTTGCTCTACTGACTGCATAGTATCCTCCTGGTCAGCCTGGGGCCTGTGCCTCCATGAAAACTGCCGTGATCCTCAGGGGAGAAAAGGTGAGTGCTTTGCTTGTGTGTGCTTCATTTACTTCCAGTGTACACACATTTATTCTGCTAGCTAAGTAGCTGATTAAGCCTGCTTAAGACAATATTTGTTTCTAAAATTTAGATAACTAGCTCAAGCCTAACAGCATTCAGGGAGGTAACTGGGGACATTTCTATGAAGCATAGAATCTGACCTTGATCAACTTTCCAGTTAGGCTCACAGCTGATGAAGTGACTGTCATTCAATTGGATATAAGTTAAAGTGAATATATATTTCATTCATATATATGAATGAAACATGATGAATGAAGTGGTTACACTGAGGGAATTAGATGAGATTTCTGTAATCATATCAGAATCCAACTGTTTTGATTAATATTCATTTTTAGACTTCCACATTTAAAATTTGATGTTATATTTTACATGCTTAAAAGAAGCATTATGTATGTTGTATACTTTTCAATATTGTCCTGATGCTTAAAATAAAATCTTCAAACCTTTTGTGCAAGCTTGATTTTTTTTAGATCTTTGTAGTCTAGTTTTCTTTAGTTGTGATTAAATTGTACATGTCCATCTTCCTTCTCCATTTTCAGAAACATCTTGTCTTTCCTTTCATTGATGTTTTGGTTTCTATTGATATTATGTTCTCTTAAATTCTGGTGTTAAGACGAAATATGCCCTTTACTCAGAGAAATGTGATACAGGATATTCCAGACGTTACGCTGTTTGAAGAACAGTAATACTGAGTATTTTATATGCAAAAAAAGGAGCACAGGGCTTGCTTCTGCAGTCCTGGTGTTCCCTGATCCCTACACAGCTTTATGCCACATTCATTTGAAACCCCCCATTTCAATCATTTCTGCAGTGATCCCCGACACACACGTGCATTACCAGAGTTTACAGCCTGTTGTGGGGAGACTGCTCAGAAAACACACCAAGTCCAAATTTGAAATAATTTGAAGGATTTTTGTTTCACCAATTTTGCCAGTCATACCTGGCCGGGGGCTGAGTCTATCAGTGTACAAGTGGCTCTCTGAAAGAACAGCAGCCCCACTCTGAGGGAAATTTGCTATTTAAGGAGGAAAACCCCATCCTATGGAATTTTTCAGTTAGCAAGCAAGCAAGTTACAGAAGCTAAAAAGAACAACTCAATTAACTGCATCTTGGGTTCCAGCAGGTGCTAGAAAACTGTCGAGTGGGTGGTTAGTGGGGCGACAATCTATGTCAAAGTTATAGAGGTCACTAAGACCACCATATCCTGAGTAAATCTTGTGGGATACAAAATACAGAAGACTATATATATATATATATAAATTTAGCAGAAAACAGTTTTCATTTTGTTTTCTCAGAAATGGGTCCTGCAGCTGTCTCGTCACAGGAGCAATAACAGAAAAACTAAGGTGGAGTCTAGAATAGCTGAGATGGAGTCCCTATGGCCACATCTGTTTGCTCGTATAGCCATAGTGACTCCATTCTTGTTGCTCCAGCAAGGAGGGAACTGTTCCAAGTGATCAGGTGGTTTTACTACAGCAGTTGCTTTACACAACCAGTATTAGCAACTTATTGACTGTATTGATCAATTCACATCATAACAAGCCCATGTTCCCAGGCTCCTCACTTAATTCTGACACCTTGAAGGCAGAAGAGGAATACAGGTGTTGCTTCTTAGGCAAGAAGAAGCTAACTTTTATTCCTTTATCAAAGAATGGAAGTATGAGTCTCAATGGAACCTGGGGAGGGGAAGCTCCTGCTACTTTCTTTGACAAGCAACTGGAATGTCCCCCAGGCTACTTTAATTTATGGGCAGATAAGATCACATTGTCATTAATGTCTAGACCTATGTGGTCTACACATACATAATCAGATCTTTGTGAGTCTTTTGCAGTTGATTATGAGACTCCTCAGGGAGACTTTCATGTTCTTAGACTCAGTGCTTCTGTGTCCCACCTGTTCCACACCTGTTTACTGTCACCATCTAGAAAACCACAAAAGGCTGGTCTGAGGCTCCACCACTTCAGCTATGGCTGTTGGTGTTTTGCCACATGGAGTCCTACTTCCTTTGTCTTCAAAGCTGTAGAACTTGCACTGGGTCAAGCGGGCTTTATATTACTTAGAGTGCCTTTGGCTATAAAGGATAGAAATCCAATTCACACTGACTTAGGCCAAAATTAGAGGCTCGTTAGCTCATACAGCTAAACATAGAAGGGACAACAGGGCTGCATCCAACAGTGTAAACCAGGTCAGTGGGTCTCAGTCTCTTCCTCTTGTTCTTTCTTTACCTTCATGATTCTCTGCTTCTCCATCTCTTTTCTACTTCTCTCTGTATGGGTTCAGTTTAAGGCAGGCTGTCTTCATAGAGTGAAGGTCAGCATGCTTTTCATTTTAGATAATAAATAACTAGTAAGAAATATCTTCCCAGTAGTTCAGGAAGAGTCCTGGAAATGACTGTTTCTGGCTGCTTTGTGGCATGTGCTCATTTCTGAGCTATTAACTGATAGGAGAAAGGACTCCAGTGACCAAGTCCAAGTCTCCAAGTTTGGAGAGGTACTGCTGCAAGCAGCCTCACAGACTGAGAATGGAGATGGGGAGAGGTGGCTTGCTCAAGGACACTACTAAAAAGTAGAAGCAATTCTGGGGTCCAGACTTAATTATGATGAATATTAAATTATAATGAATATTAAATAGATGTTTATTAAATGTATCATCCCCTTTGTTCTGTTCCATTGTTCCACTACTGAAATTTAGAAAATGTTCATTCTCTCCTTTTCCTAATTTTGTTTTGCATCTTTAGTCACTTTAGCCCAAATTTTCACCAAACCTCTGTATAAAACTATTACTTTAAGGTTTTTTTTTTCTTTTCAGTTTTTCTTTTCCACAAAACTCAGAACTAGTCCCTGCAAGTCATCTGGGAAACTCACAACTTTCTGTCCCATCTTCTATCTTACTCCAAGAAGGCTTTACACTAGCGTTTTTTTCTCATTGACCCTTATTACCCTGCTGTTTAAGTCAGCTCCTGAAATTGTACTTTTTTTCCATCATTCATTAGACACCACCTGTTGCAGATTGAATTGTGTCCCCCAAAGGATATGTTTCCATTCTAATGCCTGTTTTGTAGGCTTGTGACAATATTTGGGAATGGGGTCATTGCAGATGTAATCAAGGTAAGATGAGATCATACTAGAATAGGGTATATTCCAATGACTGGCATTTTTATGAAAAGAGGGATATTTGGTCACAAACATACTGAGAGAGGAGAGTGCTATGTGAGGATATAAGGACACAGAAGACAAGAAGAGAATACCAGATGAAGATGGCACCAGACATTGGGAATGATTCCTTACACGCCACAGGTTCCCAATTGCTGTCACTTACCAGAAGCTAGGAAAGGGGCATGAGAACGATCCTCCTCTAGAGTCTTTGGAATGAACACAGCCCCACTGAAACCTTGATTTCAGATTTCCAGCCTATAGAATTCTGAGATGTACATATCTGCCACTTTATTTTATTTGTGGGGGAGGGTGCTGGGGATTGAACTTAGGGGCACTCAACCACTGAGCCATATCCCCAGCCCAATTTTACTTTATTTAGAGACAGGGTCACACTGAGTTGCTCAGCACCTGGCTTTGCTGAGGCTGGCTTTGAACTTGTGATCTTCCAGTCTCAGCCTCCTGAGCTACTGGGATTATAGGTGTGTGCCACCACACCTGGCCGTATCTGCCATTTGAAACCACCCAATCTGCTGTACTTTGATATGGCAGTCCTAGGGAACTAATAAACCACCTATCTTGCCATTAACATTTAGGCTACGTGATGATGTGATGCTTCATAAAAATACTGTGGTGATTTAATAATGGCCAAGCCAGCACAGGGACTTCGGTTTCCTTTAATTCAGTCCACACTCCCACCAAATACTAATCATGCTTAGTTCATTTCCTCCAAAGAAGTTTGGATTGAAGCACAAGTTTACCTCTGAGAAGAAAAGCCAGCTGCCTTTTGTACCTCACTAGTCAAGGTAAACCATTGCCCTTGAGAGCAAATCCTTGAGCTGCTATAGGAGATAAGGAGTAGAGCTGGGATGGTCTGAGTGCATCCATAGTGTAGAAGAAAAGTGACAGGAATCCAGGAGTCTGCAATTGTGGGAGGGAGGGAGGGTGCTAGTGACATCTTGAGAGCATCAGGTAACCAGGGTGGGTATTTTTTTCCCCCAAACTACAGTTTTTTTTTTTTTTTTTTTTCCTCAGAGGCTCAGTCTTTGGAGCCCAAGGTAAGGGCTGAAGCAGTGGAAGCTCTCACCTAAAGGTAGTGGTGGCTCTCAGGATTTGGGAATTGTTCAGAGAATATTGGAATAAATGAGGCTCCATTCCTGTTTCATAGGGCCCAGAGTGGGGAGAAATTATTTTCTCTCAGCACTAAGTAATCACAGACAGGAGAGAGTATGAGCCTCGATGATTGCTATTCAAGTCTAAGAGTTAGCTATTTTAAAATGCTTCCCTTAAAGCAGAGAGAATGTTGGTTTTTAAAGTCTTTCTAAAACCTGGCAGGACCACCTGCCTGTAATCCCTCTTGGGAAAAATAAAGAATGGAGTTTCCCCTCCAGGGAAATGATTTTGTGACTACAAGGTGTCCAAGCATGTTACAATGGCAGCAAGTGATCTTCTTGTTATTTCTACTGACTTGTCAGCATGAGCTGGAGATCGCCTCATTCTCCCTTTCTATCCTGTGATCCTGCTTGAGTTCCTTCAGAATCACTGAGGGGCAAAAACTAAATGTAGTTTTGAATTCTACAGAGTCTGGGGTGCACAGGCTTATGCATTAGACATTGCAAAACTCTGGAATGTCAACAGTCTCCAACTTCATGTTTTAATCCCTCCTCTAAAGAAATGCTGAGTCCACTGGCAGAAATCTAAGACATTCAATCATTTCTTATTTTTATACACTTTTAAAGTGCACATATATGCATATATGTTTATATTTACATGCATTTTTAATATATATGTGTATATATTCTATTATGTTTATACTTATATTTACAAAGAAATGTGGAGGATATGAGTGGGGAGGGGAGGAGAAAAATATCAGCAAGAAAATAAATGGAGAAAGTTGGATATCCTTGAAATCATTCCATTTTTTCCTAGTCATCACGTTGTTCTTTTGGTATGTTCTTTTTGTTCATGGTTAAAAAAATAGTAGAAAGGAATGGGAAAGTAGGAAATGTTTTATTACCTAAGAGATTAGTTATTATAACAATTATCTATGTGTGACTGTCAGACACCCTTCAATCAGGCATCATCTGAGGTTCGTGGCTGTCAGCTATTTGGAAGTCACTAGAAAACCAGCCCATGTTCACTGGCTTCCTGGTCTTTCATCAAGTCAGTGACAGGCAGACATAAGGAGCAGTCCTCGGCAGGTCAGCGCATGTTGAATGACGCCAGGACACCTTTCAGAGGAATTAAAATTGGATCAGATTTTGTTTTTATTAGTTCATCTTTGAGACAAACCTAGAATGTTATAATTAGAGAAATCTGAAAGAGAATTAGCCTTAAAAATGCTGATGGGTAAAGTGCACGTGGATGTGATGCATTTGTAGATGCATACTTGATACCCAACACCCTTGCCACTCTCAAATTTCTATAAAGAGAAACTTCTAAAAAGAAATTTGAGAGCTGAAGGTGTAGTTCAGTGGTAGGATGCTTGCCTAGCATGTAGAAGGCCCTAGGTTTTAATCCCCAGGACTGTGAAAGACAGAGAAAGAGAAAGAGCCAGAGAGAAGTTAGGGAGGGAGAGAGGGAGGGAGGGAGGGAGGAAGGAAGCAAGGAAGGAAGGAAGGAAGGAGAGAGATAGGAAATTTGGTAGAGATTTCTCTATATGACATCACAATAGATATATGCTTATGTGGTAGGGCTTGAGGGATTTCTTTCTCCTCTAATACAGTATCCTCCTTTATCACAGCACCTAAGAACCTAAAAATTCCATAGGAAAAGGCATTTTGAAACAAAGAAGTGATGACTGTTGTTGAAGTCTTATTGTCTCAAACAAATTAATTTAGGTAATGCACTAAAATCCATACCATGACATGTCCTAGATCATATATAATAATAAAGGGGAAAAATCTCCATTTTCCACCCTTACTGGTAGATAGGCTCTACCTTTAATGAGAGGCATATAAAATCATTTTGCTTTATCACAAATAATATGCATGCCAAGTTACAGTTTTTTCATTGTCTTCTGCATCTGTGTGCTGGGACTGGCTGCAGGCTGTGCACTCTTATTCTAAGCATTGAGAATTCTCATACGGACTTTACCCTATCAGTGCTGTTGCTGCTGCTTTTCTGTGTTCACCACAGACTGGAAACCAATAATGATACTGTAACATGCTATGCCTGCAGAAATGGTGGTGGATATCTAAAGATTTGGAATCCAAGATTCAGTCGGCTTAGAATCTTTGACTCAGTTGTTTTCCTTGTCCGGAGCCACAAGAGACAAAGAGCAAATGGAATGTTTAAGATGGAATAAGCTTCTGTCATCTGTTTAATCTGCCGGATATTTCTTCAAGCCTGTCCCACTGGAGTCAGTGCAGAGACACAGTGTTGCCCACAGACAGCTCTGTGGAAGCTTACCAGGACACTTCTGGACTAAAAACAAAGCAGAAATATAGTCCTCAGACCTGTATGCCCCCTCTCGAGCTTTCTCTCATTGTTCCAAGGCTCCAATTAAAAAACATTGACCCCTCTTCTGCCATCTGTTCTTCTTCCCTTTTCTCTTCCCAGCCCATTATTCACTCTGCAAATTATCTCCAGTACAATGATGCACGTTTACCACAAGTCTTAGGGCCATAGAAAAATAGAAAATTCTACCAACATTACTTTTGCCAGAGGTGAGCTGAATTTCTGGTTAACTCTCTCTGCTCAGTGTCTCAAATTCCACTATTCATTCTGTTCAGCTTTAGGTTAACAAAGTAATCCCTGGTACCATTTGGGTTCACGCTGTGGAGTGGAGCTAAAGCACAACATATACAGCAGCCAATTTTGATCCTTTTTTTATGACAGGAAAGACCTGCTGTGTTTCATACCCATCCATATAATCAGTAAGGTACCTTTGGGGAAACAATGTAGTCTAGCCTTGGTTTTCCCATATATAAAATGGGAATAGTAACTTAAAAATAGTTTTGAGGATTTATTAAGTTAGGGTACTATAAGAACAGTGTCTATCACAGTTTTGATAGAAGCTATTCCCTTTTTCCTAGAGTATGTGCTCTGTGAAGATTAGATGTGCTTTCTGTTCTTCCTGATCTGCACATGATAGTTAACATTTATTGAATCATACTACCTGATTAAAATGGAATTCAATAAATGAAGTGAGTGCTTGGCTAGCCCAGCCACTGTGGACATAGTTGTTGTATATCTTTCAGAACAAAACACCCAGGGGATGTCTGATGTCTATTGCAAGCATGAATGCCAATGCATGATTAAAGTTAAGTACTAAAAAGAGATTCCAAGGTTTTGTTTTATGCTGAGCTTGTGCTATGATTTGATCCTAGTTAGAGTCAGGACAAGGGCAACACAAATGAAAGACTAAAAAAAATTATTGACTGAGGAGATGTAATCTATAGATTTATGGCAAGGTGGATGCAGTGTGATTTATAGAGGAAAGCTGCACATGGCCCTCAATGGCATTAAGTTCCAGGAATAGGACACCCAGAATCCCTCAGTAGTGACAGCTAAGTTTCTGTGCTCAACTCTGAGCTGGTTGTCAAACAGCATAAATCATGAGGACTATACCATGACTTGCTCAAAGATAAAAACCAAACAAGCACAAACGTATGATGATAAATAAGCATCAGATAGTTTTGCATGTGATAACACAGACCGCTCAGATTGTATGACAACAGAAGCTTGGAGGTCATTGAAATTTCATGTTTACCAAATATAGTTTACATCCCTTTATGTCCCTTACTTCTCTTCTTGAGATGGCTTAATAAGGCAGCTGAGTCCTTTAGTTTTATTTTGTCTAGTTAATGATGTAGACTCGGAGACATGAATGAGGGCAATTGCCAATTTTTTTTTCAATTGCCCCTGATCTTGACATTTTCAATGTCATGAGAACATGGTAACTGATTGACTCAAAGATGCCTTCATATTCCTAGATGGTCCTTAAAGTGAGAGTCTAAGAGTCTCTTTCAAAGCGAGGGTATGGGTTACCCCAGATCAGGAGAACTCAAATAAAATACTTACAACTCCCAGCCCTGTACTATTCTAAGCAAGCTCATCTTCCTTCGTGTCCTGAAGCCACATTCATTGCATAATAGCCTTCCTGCCTATGTTGTATAAGTCTTTCTCTGACTATACTTCAGTTTTGTAACCTTCCGATCTCATTTCTCATGGTGACAAAACTGTGAGGCAGCGTGCCTGGCTTTGTTACTTCTCATGGCCCCTAAGTTGTCCTCCTTGGCCTTATGGGAAGGATGGTAGAGAACCTCTCATTTGGGGAATTCTATGTTCTCTTCTTATCAAAACTCTCGTATTTTCTTTACTTACTCCAGGGTATATGCATGATCATCTCATAAAATATTATTTATGCAACAGATTGGATTTGTGAAACAAAAACAAAGGAAATTAAAGGAATTCAACTGGTTGGTTGAATTTGGAGTACAAATAATGAAAGATGATGTGTGAGCTCTCCAGGAAGTAGAAGTAGGTTTTAAAAGTGACATCTCATGGCCGGCCATGGTGGCACATGCCTGTAATCCTAGCAGCTAGGGAGGCTGAGGCTGGAGAATTGTGAGTTCAAAGCCAACTTCAGCAACTTAGTGAGGCCCTAGGCCACTTAATGAGACCTTGTCTGAAAATAAAACATAAAAATAGGCCAAGGATATGGCACTGTAATTAAGCACCCCTGGGTTCAATCCCTGGTAATAAGTAGATAGATAGATAAAAATGACAAATTATGAGGGCCAGAGATTAAAGCCTAGAGGATTTCTGGTTCTCGGTCATTCTCTTTTAGTCATTTTTTAAAATGTGAATTTGTTTCCATTATTAAAAAATATTTTATATAAAAACAAAGCATAACTGATAGCTATGGTTTCTTACACAAAATTGAAAGGCCTATTAACTAAGGGTCTGTGTATTCTTGGGCTATACTCAATGGAAGCTGAATAATAGCATTTTAGAACAAACTCTAGACTTTGTCACTGTCTTCGGTTTTTAGATGGTTCCTTACCCTCAGCAAGTTCCTGCTTAACTGCTATTGATGTTAAGTTTGTGACTGAAGGTCCTTAAGGATTTAAATGTAAGGTCCACTTATGTCCTCATTATGGTCTTTGGCTGGTGGATTTGAGGACCTAGACTTACCGTATATATTTTCTAAAACTGAATAATAATCGAGAGACTCATGTTCAGTCAGGATGGAGAAGGAGGTCCAAAGAGATGCTGTCTTTACGGACCAGAGTGATGCGGAAATCTCAGTGAAGACATACATGGATGTCTTAAAGTAAGAAGCCCTGAACAATCAGGCACCAGAGATATGCCAAAGTGTAGATGATTTTTCAGCTTACCGCAGACTATCAAGAGTATCAAAAACAACAGCAAAAACAAAATGTGGATTAATCTGTGATAAGGTCATTTTTATGAGTCTCCATTTATTTTGCTGGTTTATGAAACCCTGTGGATATACCCTATTTATTATTTCACTTGATATATGTGGCCTCTCCAATTTCCAGGTTGTAAACTCATGGAAGACAGATTTCTGCTCTAAATCGCTTTCATTTTCTTTTTCTCCTTTCAACTTCTTATTCCTCCGCATCCCATAAAAATTAAAACACATCAAGATAACATATGCTTTAAAGCTCTAAGTATTTATATAAAAGTCTCATCTCTCACATAACAGCTGCTTCTTTCCATTGTGGGCTAAGAGCGGATTCCTGTGAAATTTGTTTCCTTTTTTCCTTTTAGGATTTAGAACGAGGCAGCGCCATGTCCTCATGGAATCCACAGGGCCTGCAGGACATTGCCCTCATTTGGTGGAATCTGTTCCTTGTGAAGATCCAATGTGTTATCAATGGGTGGCTTTAGAAGGGATCTGTATCCCTGATCATGGAAAATGTGGCTTGGGACATCGCATCCTGAAGGCCGTCTGTCAGGATGACCGAGGTATGATCCAATGATGCACTAGAGGTGTTGTGACATCAGTCAGAGGACACATTGCCTCTCTCCAAAAGTCATTTGCTGGAGGAAGAGAAGCACAGCTTTTTCTTTGCTTGAATATTCGTGGTTCAATCAAGGGGCACATTATTGACAAAGGAGATGGCAGTCACTTTCTATGTGGCCATGTGCTTCAGAACATAAGAGTACCATTTGACTATGCCTAAGTGCAATGCAGTGGACTCTAAGCTCAGTGGACTCTATTGAGCTCCTCTCTAAGAGTTGTCTTGGGTTTTTAAGTTTCTCAAAACAGATACAAAACAGGAAACTCTTAGGTCGTCTTCAACTTATTAATACAAAACAAGTTTTACTTTCTTGTTTTTAGGTCCATATATATTATGTCCTTATATTATTGACAAGTGCCTCCTTATAAAGATTCCATGTTAAAAAGAAAAAAAAAATAGTAAGTGAAATCTTTCCATTTTCATAGCATTAGAGCAGAATCAGTTCTAGACATAATACTAACATTTCTAAAGAACCATTTTTAAATATAAGTTGTCAAGACTTAGAAATCTATTAATAATTATGTCTTTCTGTGATCAGCAAGCTTCTGAAGGTACAATCCTTGTTAGGAGTTAAGGGGGATTTTAAAATATGTGAGTCACATGGCAGTGAGAAAAGTGACATTTAAAATCTTTATCCTAGAGATTAAAAAATATTCAGTCTCTTCACAAGGAACTAGGATACTGAGTATGTATGTCTACTAATCAGCTCTGCCATGAGAAGCCCCCTTTGTAATGTTCTTGGTGTGCAGGATGAAGTGTTTTGATTTATAGAGTGAAATAATCCATAGAAGAGAAGGAAATTGCATAGTGGATTCCGACTGTGTATTAGCATCCACATGGGGTCGACTTATAGCGCAGTATTTTCTTTTGTCTTTCTCTCTCTTTTCCTCTTTCCCCTTTCTTTTGTCCACTGTTTCTTCCGTTCTTCTTTCTTTTAAATCACAAGCATAATTAGGCAAATATACATTTTTTATCAAATGATTTAATTGGTTACCTCCAGATTCCAGATGGTGTTTTAATTAAATAGAAGGTGACAACAGATTGTAATAGCTACAGTAAATAGTAAAAAACTAATAGTGTCTGCTTCTAATATTACCAAATAATGTTTGAATTGTGGTAAGAGATGTCCAGCTTAATAACCTAGGCAAATGAGATCACCTTTGTGTTGTTTTTCTTTGTATTACACTGTGATTTATAATAAGAAATATATATTTTGGTCTTTATTCCTGGTTCCTGGCACAATGATTCTAAATCCTTGCTATTTCTTGAGCAATAGGGATGCATGTTTTAATATTTGGTCTTTGATCCTTGTTTCCTTGGGATTTCCCTAGGTGATGAAAGTGTCTTTTATCCTAATGAGATGGTTCTTGGTTGACTTTTGGAGGAATGGTAATCTGAAAGAGCAAGCCATGACTTGGAAATTTCAGCTCTACCCTGTGTCCTCTAGGAAAAGGAGAGGGGCTGGAGATTGAGCTTCCATAGGTAATGAAGTCTCCATAAAAATCTCTCAACTATGGGGCTCAGAGATTTTTTCCAGATTTCCAAACATGAGGTATAGGAAGGGTGATGTACCCAGACCAGGCTAAGAAGCTCCATATTCTTTCCCCAGTACCTTGCCCTATCTCTTTCTTTTGGGTATTCATCTGCATCCTTTGTAATGTTCTCTGTAGTAAACCTGCAACATAAGTAAGGTATTTCTGTGAGTTTTGTCACCAATCTAGGCAAATTATGGGGTTCAACAAAAGGGCTGTAGGAATCCTGATTTATAACTCATCTGTCAAAAGCATAGATGACTGCCTAGGGCTTTTGATTGCCATATGAATCTGGGGTAGTCTTGGGGGAAGGAGCTCATTACTTGTTGGCTTTGGTGCTGTCTCCAAGTAGACAATGTGAAAATCAAAGTGAATTGTCGGACACACCTGCTATGGCAAAGTTGCTTGGAGTGGGGAAAACCTCACACATCTGCTCACAGACATCTTCAGTGTTGAGTGTGGTGTCAGATGTGAAGTGTTAGAGGTTTCAGATCTGGATCCAGAGTCACAAAGGTTGGAATTTTAACTCTGCTACTCACCTGCTGGATGGTTTCAGGGAAATTATTCAATTTGCGGTAACATCCTTCCCTTCAGTTATCAAGAGGAGATGATAAAAGCTACCTCTTATTGTCAAGATTGTGAGAGTTAAATTCATTACACAAAAGTGATTAGTAAATTACCTGGCACAAAAGAATTGAAAATCAGCTTATAATACACGTTTATTATTACATTTTGTCCTGTGGAAATTGTTCAAAGAACATTCTTTTCTAAAATGAAAATAATACTGAAAATTTGAATAACCACTTTTTTCTCCCAGTCTCCAGCTGAGAAAATAAAAGATTCTGAATTTGGTTGGGACCCAGTGCCAGCAATGATGCTGTGTTGTATAATAGCAGGTGTGGAGAGTGGTCATGTATCTTATGTTCATAGGTAGGGCTGTCTTTTGCAGTATGTGCTGCTATAGTTGTAGAGGTCTCAAAGTTACTGCAGTTTAAGAGCTTTTTTGTTCATTGTGTAATAATTAATTTTTGGTGTTTACATATGCTCTCCCCTTCTGGGGAGAAGTAGGAATTAATGCTGGCTCATATCAGCTCTATGATGTTTCGTAGTTTTAAATACCTGATGACTCCTTCATTGTTTGGGATACTGGGCACCTGATAGCTGAAGCCAACTTGTGTCCAGGGAGAAATTGAAATGAGCTCTGTTTGTACTTTTTTTGAATTAGCCTCTGTGTGATTCTGAATGATTGATGATGGAAGTTTGCAGAGAAGTTCTTATCTGAATCCACATGTTTTTAGGGTGTTTGCATAGTTATAAGGATTAACAGAAGTTTTAATGCTCATTTAAATGCCTGGAGAAAAAATAGGTAGTTTCCTGTGATTACTTTCTTCTTGTAACATTTTATAGTATTCTCAGGATTGGACAGGGAAGAATAGGGGGATGGGAATGGGAAACACAGTAGAATGAATTGGACAGCACTTCCCTGTGTTCATATATGAATACATGACCAGTGTAACTCTACATCATGTACAACCACAAGAATGGGGAGTTATATTCCATGTATGATATGTCAAAATATATTCTACTGTCATGTATAACTAAAAATAAAAATTAATAAAATAATTTTGAGATGCACACAAACACACACACACATACACACAAAGAATACTGTTGCCAGTTTTACAGTGACTTCAATGTGACATAGATTATATATTTTTGATGTTTCCAAGCTAATGAGCTGAACAAACTTCTGGAGAAGAGAATACATTTCACTGGTGGCAAGAGGAGCATCCAAGAAGACACTGGAAGGAGCTCTACAGAAGAGTGATCATAGTTGTGTAGAAAAATCTTGGTTCCACAGTCTGAATGGGACTTGATATTTTGTTGGGATGCTGAAAGTTTCTCTCTGTATGTTCAGGATACCTGAAGTGAATTCATATGGATAAGTATAAAAGTGGAGAGAAAGCAAGTCATTCTTGTAAATTCTGATAGGCCTCAAGTCTGATAAAATCTAATATAAATTTTGGAATTACTTTTAATCAAATATAAGATGATTTATTTTGGCCTCAACCATTTATTTCTGAATAAATTCTGAAGTAAATGACCTATGAAATAATTGCTAAACTCAGGATGATGAAAAGAAAACTATCACTACCTAGGTTGGTTCCATAGCTTATTTATTGTAAATTGAGTTGCTGTAAACATTGATATGGCAGTGTCACTATAGTATGGTGATTTTAAATCCTTTGGGTATAGACCAAGGAGTGGGATAGCTGGGTCAAATGGTGGTTCCATTCCAAGTTTACTGAGGAATCTCTGTACTGCTTTCCAGAAAGGTTGCACCAGTTTGCATTCCCATCAGCAATGTATGTGTGTACTTCTCCTGCCACCCCCCAGCATCCTCGCCAACATGTATTGTTGCATGTATTCTTGATAATTTCCATTCTGACTGCAGTGAGGTGAAATCTCAGTGTGGTTTTAATTTGCATTTCTCTACCTGCTAGAAATGGTGAACATTTTTTCATATATTTGTTGACCATTTGTATTTCTTCTTCTCTGAAGTGCCTGTTCAGTTCCTTTGCCTATTTATTGATTGGGTTGTTTTATTTTTTGGTGTTAAGTTTTTCAGTTCTTTGTATATCCTTGAGATTAATGCTCTGAGGTGCAGGTGGCAAAGATTTTCTCCTATTCTGTTGGCTCTCTCTTCACAGTCTTGATTGTCTCCTTTGTTGTGAAGTAGTTTTTAGTTTTATTCCATACCATTTATTGATTCTTGAGTTTACTCCTTGTACTTTAGGAGTCTGGTTGAGGAATTTGGTTCCTAAGCTGACATAATGAAGAGTTGGGCTTACTTGTTCCTCTAGTAGGCACAGAGTCTCTGGTTTAATGCCTAGGTCCTTGATCCACTTGAGTTGAGTTTTGTGCAAAGTGAGGATTAGTGTTGGTTATTCTTTGAAGGTCTGGTAGAACTTGGCTGAGAATCCATCTGGTCCTCGGTTTTTCTTTGTTGGTAGGCTTTTGATGGAATCTTCAATTTTGTTGCTTGAAATTGATCTGTTTAAATTTTTATGTTCTTCTGATTCAATTTGGACTAAATTTAATGTTTCTAGATATTTGTCAATGTCTTCAACATTTTCTATTTTATTAGAGTATAAATTTTCAAAGTAATTTTTGATTATCATCTGTATTTCAGTAATATCCATAGTGATATTTCCTTTTTAATCACAAATTTTAGTAATTTGAGGGTTTTTTTCCCTCTTCATTAGCTTGGCTATGGGTTTATCAATTTTATTTATTTTTTAAGGAAACAACTTTTTGTTTCATTGATTCTTAATTTTTTTGTGTTTCAATTTCATTGATTTTAGCTCTAATTTTAATTAGTACCTCTCTTCAACTGCCTTTGGTGTTGATT